GATCAAGGTCGTAACTTCGAATCAGCTGTGTTCCATGAATGCTGCAAGTTGTTTGGCATACTAAAGACCAGAACAACGCCACTTCACCCACAGTTTGATGGGATGGTAGAAAAGTACAATTGGACACTTGGACAGGAATTAGCAAAGTTTTGTAATAGCCGCCAAGCTGACTGGAATGTCTTACTCCCTCCACTGTTGATGGCCTATAGAACAGCAGAGCATGAAGCCACTGGATACACTCCATCAAAGCTGATGTTTGGTCGGGAACTTCGGTTGCCAGTGGATCTGATAACAGGATGCCCACCTTATGAAGAGTTGCCTGAAAATGTGCCAGAGTTCGTGAAAGTGTTATCTGAAAGGATTGATGATATTCACCATCAAGTGCATTCAAACTTGAAAACGTCTGCTGATTCGATGAAGCTATGCTATGATAAGAAGTCTACTGAAGTGAGCTTTGTACCAGGAGACAAGGTGTGGTTGTATAATCCCAGGAAGACCAAAGGGAAGTCTCCTAAGTTTTCTTCTCCATGGGAAGGCCCATATGACATAGTGGATCGTCTCTCAGACGTGATTTTCCGAATAAAATGTGGTCGGCGAGGTAAGCCAAGGGTGGTGCAGGCTTTGGCATTATCACGGTCCAGGATATTTCAGTTGGAACAAAGTGAACAATGGAACAAATGATGCTGCTGAAGACGTGTCACCTAAAAAAGTCACTGTAGAAGAAGAAACTCTACCCGGTTTTGAGAAGGGAAACAGTGAAGCCTTTAATGAAGTTACTACCACTGATGTGACTGTTACCGATAATAGGACATTTCCTGATGGAGCAGATGAACCCCCATGTGAAGCAGAAACCAACGAGATAGAGACCACTACGGAAGAAGTTACGTCCCGTAAAATTAAGAGACTTTGTTGAATTTTAAATTTGTGTTTGTAAATTCTGTACATTTAATTAAGTTATTGTTAATTATCTATTTGTTTAATTTAAGTGGCTATTGTTCGGGACGAATAATACTAAGGAAGTGGCAGTGTTACGACAGCGGAGGTCACTTGATCTGGTAACACGTCATGAGATTGTCGAAGGATCTTGACTTTTCCTGGCAACTCTAGTGTTTTCTAGGCGCCCTCTTTTATTGTATATAAGCCCAACAAATAAAGCGGAGATAGGTAGCAGATAGAGATATATAGAGACAGATAATTGAGTCAAGCGATCGGTAAGTAAAATTGGATATGTTATGAAACAATATCAATATGCAAACAACAACAAAAACTTATCTCACTCAGGGTGTGCATAAATCTTTAATGATAGATACATATAAATCTATACACACACGTATCAGATAAAAACAAAGAAAAACTACTATGAACTTGTCTTCTATATGTATTCACGAGTGTGGAAGGCAGAGAACATTCTAAATTTAAAATATAATACTGAATGTGTAACATAAGTTATGATAAATGAATTAGATACAAAATCTACATTCAACCTGAAAGGTGACCAAGGTTTTACTCTTAGTGTCACTGTTGTTTTTCGAATGGCAACTGTAAATGATCTGGGGTCTGCATGGGCTCTCACTAAGTTCTGTTCATATTCAACTAGTCTGTTTCACGGGTGCCAGACATTCTCCTTAAATTGTATCTTAACAGAAGAGTGGTACATTGTCTTAATTGATCGTCCTCGTGGTTGTAGATGGCCTAGACCTCCGCTCAAACAGCTGCCATCTCTTGAAAATGGTGCTCGAGTACTAGAATCTGCTTTAATATGAACTGGTTCACAATCACCTTAATTGGTCTGGAAGGGCGTTCTATGCTAAGCCCCTTTTGGGATATCTCTCATGGTCTCTTTATCTTATCCGATTCGCCAACAGGAAAGATTGTTTTCTATTTTTGGATATCGCATATTATCTTCCCTACATAAAGTAAGCTAATTGACAACTAGCGGACTCATCTGTCATGCTCTCTAAGCAGCGAAAATTAAAATGATACTTGAGTGAATCTTGTCATCCAAGCTGAAAACTCTGAAAAACACAATAATTTGAGAAACATTTACATCTCAATAATGGGATAATAGGCATTTAGTATCCTCGTGTACTACAGATGCACAGAGGATTTTGTTTTTGTAATTAATGTAATTATGATTTTGTCAATGTTTCGGTATGGTCTGTACGATGTAAGTAATAGTAGTGGCTTATATCAGTTCATACATGGATAGATTGAAGTTTTTTGTCAATATTTGGTTTTATGAAAGTTATTTTTAAAGCACAGCGCTCTGTGTTTGAGATATTTGCAAAACCCAAATTTTCATGAATGTTGTGAATCCTGGTCCGTAAGTAACAGGAGTCACCCTGAGGTAGTCTCGGGGCATTAATCGAAAGTTGTAAGTAGAAGCAATCGTTTTACAGGCGTATGTATACACGTTATGTGGGTTGTGCAATATACGTTGATTTTTGAGTGACTGCAGAAGAAATGGAGCTTGGGCTTGGGAATATATGATCTAAAGATAATAAAAGGTATATTACTTAGAACGAGAGGAATCTTGTTATTATACATTGATTATATATGTACATAATTATTTATATTTTATATGAGACTTTCTACTTCAGTGGTTTGTAACTTGGCCCTGAGCTCATCATATGGTAAATAATTGTAAAATACAACTTACAAGTTACTTATAGCAATACCATAAAATATTAGTATTACTACTGCTAGTGCTAGACTATTGTAATACTAAGAGTAAGAACTACTATCACCAGTAATAGTAATACATATTCCTAATAGAAAGAAAAGGGTAGCTACAAATGAAAAACCAGGTTGGCTCACAAAGAGTTTGAGAAATAAAATGTAAAGAAAAGTATCATAAATTTAAGAAATTTAAATTGACTAGTATGACAGGAGAATTAGAAAATTATAGAAGATCAAGAAAGTTGGTGAAACAGGAAATTAGGACATCAAAAAGGATGTATGATAAAACGTTGCCTGAATATGTAAAAATCAACAGTAAGGATTTCTTTAAATACATTAAGGGGAACAAAATGTTAGGATAAGGATGGGACCCATGAGGGATGATAAAGGAAGACTAGTATCTGATGGTTATGAGATGGCTGGTTTATTAAATTTTACTTTTTCTTTGGTTTTTACTAATGAAGATTTAAGTAGTATTCCACATCTTGAACAGTTGAAAAATGGAAATGAGATCAAACAAGATGACTGCATTAATTCTGAGCTGGTAAAGAAAAAATTAGGAAATTTAAGAAATGATAAGGCTCTTGGGCCAGATAATATTTCCCCAAGGGTTTTGAAGGAGATTTATAGACTCATTAGTCTTGCATCAGTTGTAGGAAAAATTTTAGAAAGTCTGTTAAAAGATGCTTTGCAAAGTCATTTAACAAAGTTTAGAATTTTA